TTGAACAAGAGACCGAATCTACCACACAAATGTAAGGGTAGCCTTACACATAAATATGGATGTAACCAGTCAACATGCCGACAATTCGATTAACGACCAGATATATTACCTAGAATATAGTACAGTCATTCCCCCCATGGCATTTTAACACGCGTTTACGTAGATTATATACAAATTTCCAAAATGTAATTTTTTATCAATATATTTGTGTGTCTTGCGTATATTGTGTGCAAGACTACTCTATCCTCAAAAAAGCAAAATGAATTTTTTATAACAAGGATCAAATTTATTCTCTACAAACTTATTTTCCCAAAATTGACCTAATTTTCTCTGGAAATGTTGAAACCCAAAAGTCGCCGTTTGTTCCGGCTGTAAAACTAAAATTAAATTTTTTTATAACAAGATTAAATTTATTCTCTACAAACTTATTTTCCCAAAATTGACCTAATTTTCTCTGGAAATGTTGATAAGAAATTAGCGAATGTTTCTAATTTTAGTAACTTGACCTTCAAACATTTGTAATTTTGCGTTTAAATTACCAGCTTGTTTATTATTACTTTCTGCTAAAAGCGCTTATTGTATAACGAATTTACACTTATTACGTTACTTTTGAAAAAAAATCAAACAAGTCGTTTACTCATAACGATAAGGTTTGTTAATTTAACCAAGATTGACGTTGTTTATTATGTAATCTTCTACAAAAAGATTTGATCAACTCAAATTACGATGTTTGTTATCCCTGGCCTTTGTTTGCCTTTGTTTCTATCTATAGCTATTGCGAAATTACAGCAGGGCATTGTTTTTTCAGTTATTTTATAATGTGACATTTCAAATCGTCATTCTTGAATACGATCAATATGAACATAATATTATGCAAACATATATTTATGATACAGTGTTACTTTTACTTGGAAATATACGACAACTCTTGTGATAAGTTACTCGCCTAAGAAAACTAATTATAATGATCAGATAATCCGCTACTAAATTGGTAAAAATTTTGTCAATCTTTATACAAATTACGTGAATCCAACTTAGCGAGAGTCTATTTGACTGGAAGGTTGTCCGACTTCCAGCTTAACGACAGTTTATATATGTTGTCCGACTTAGGCCAAATCCGACTTATCGAGTTTTACTGTGTATAATCAGCAGTAGATCAATGCGCCGAAAAATAAAAACAGAGTCTAGTTTTTATGGAAAAAAAGGTGGATTATATTATATAAATAGATCCTTCCCTACAAAAGATACCAAACATATCTCAAACATTGCTAGTTATCAAATAAAATTAATTTGTTCTAAATTAAAATTAAACCTTTTTGTGTGATTCAAAAGCCTTTTCCGGATACAATAGTTTTCCCCCAATATACGCAGGGATCGATTATAGTCATCACTGAACAATTGGTCAAAAAAGAATTTTTTTGAAAACGATGGAACAGTCTTCGTGCAGAAATATCAGTAGTAGTATTGTTTGCAAAATTTATAGATTATATAGTTGTGGAGGGCTTGTAAGTGTTCGTAAGCAATTAGCTAAACGATAGAAATTTACTTTTTCCTTAAATTTAAATTTATTCTCGTTTGTAGATTATAAAGATGTTTTTAATACATTATCGACTTCATCCATTCCATGATGCAACTATCCCATTGATAAACGTTAACATTTGAACAAACTTTAATACGTAGCTGTTTACAATTAAAACAAAGCTACCGTTGCCTTGTATAACCGCGTCTACCATGCAAACTAAATCCAAACACATCTAAACAAAATATCTACATTACAAACATTCCAACAATGAAACACTTCAGCTCTAAAATTTCCCAGACAACAGATACCAAACTAACACAAACTCTGCGAACCGTTGTTAAGCAGTATTGATTTATGATTAATGATATCATATGTCAAATTCCCTATGACTAAATTTGGTGTAAGCTAAAGCGGGTGGTTTATACCACACGGTAGTTGCCACAGATCAAAATTATCATCAACCCACAGTTTGATAATAACAAGTCTAATAATCTTTCTCTAAATTCGTCAATAAAGCTGTCTCCTCAATCTCAATATAACTCTCCATTGGTTCATAGTAGTGGCATATTACTCCTCTGTTTGCTCCACAAGTACAGTGTACTAATTACCACCATAAATCTATTATTTGCATCCGCGAAATTTCATATTAATATCGAATGCCCCGTCTGTGTCGAGATAATAGTAAAGGTTTAATTGTAGTATTTACAATAATTACGCAACATATAAATACAGCAAACATTTATTCAAGGACACTATTCAGATATGGTAGATTAATTGATTTAAGAAAATAACTCGGCAACTATTTGTAAGTCGCATTAGCGTCCAATCTATCCATCGCCATTCACTATTAACGCTAATTTACAGTACTGACATTATCTATTTGTCTGTTCTTCCTGTTTATCATGGTGTGCACTCATTGTCCGGGCCAAGCTACGGAAGATACAGTAGACAGAATCGAATAGTTGGATTATCATGTTACAAAACCACATTATCAACTATTAATTCATTTATTAGTTCTAATGAAGACAGAATAACATTCGCAAATATTTACTTGAATCCAAAGGGTCTCTTACTGATGAGTAGTTTAGCAAAGTATTAGTTACTATATTCAGTAGTAATATTCAGAATGTAATCTTTTAAAAAATTTGATGCAAAATGCTTTATCCTAGGAATCGTCCACCAAGCCGTTCAAGATTAAAACAGTGATACAATAACAAAGATATAGTAATCTAATCTAAGTATATGCTTATATAATGTAAAATAGCGAGTCTCGAGTGGCAGAACGCGTGGTTTATATTGAGATAAACGTATTAATTGAGTTTTCATAAAATAAAAATGTTATCAGAGGTTGCATTATGTTAAAATAACAAGCTCGAGTTTATAGCAAGAGTATTTTCATCTCTTTTGTTACCTTTGCTTATTTAAGAAAGGATTTTTTTACAAATTGCACATGACATGGCGTCGCGTCGTCTTTGTGAGTTCCTTTTAATGGTAGGAATTTGAAGCGGTTATAAACCGGTGCTAGTATTCAGGGTAAACTGATACTTGTTAAGGCTTTGATAGTGGCGTCATATTTGTGGTACAGTTTTTTTCTTGGATTGCAGTCTCTAAAACTTTTTGAATTTGTATTGCACAAAACGATACCGTTTTCCCATATTTACCTTCACTCTCAGTCTCTTTCCATTCTCACCGCTCTATAAACGTAATTTTGTTGGTTTAGTGGACTGACACTCTGTGCAATGTTCGCTACCTGACATTATTACTAAGTAGTATTAATACTAATAAAAGGATTTGTGATTCAAAAGAAATTACAGAGCTTAGCATTCAAGACTACGTAAGCCTCCGCAAAAGTATTATTAAATGTGATGTCATTGAAATGTGTAATGAAGCAGTGTACAGAACTAGTTATGGAAGTAACAATAAATTTTGTAATTATAATTAGTTGTTCAAACTCAGCAGTATGCTTCTGAAAATTACAATCAATTAGCTTCAAAATGATACAATAATAATGTTATTTTTGTTTAGTAGATATAATTGAGGGCGATTTTCGGAAAAAAAAAATTAATAATTTTTTTCAAATGTTTTACTATTGTATTGATCGATGTGCAGACCCACTGACCAAAAGAAATCTGTCATACAATAGATAAACGCATTTAAATCAATATTTTCGAAAAATGTCTACGTCAATGACATGGCCGTACTTGGCGCCGGGCAACTGGAATAATAAAATTAACGACCAAGTACGAAACAAAATGGTACTATTTACAGCCCAGTCAAAGCGAGTCAATACATCTCTGGAAGCGATTTTTTCCACAAATTGTCTAAATTTAACGTTATAATTGGATCAAAAGTTCTAGTAGTGGGTGCACACGAAAGCAGATATGCACAATTTTGAATGCATATCCAGCGCCACGCCATATATTACCACATTATTATTATCTTTTTCACTCTCCACCAGTGTTATCATTACCCGAATAAAAGACATTACATACAATTGTTAATAGGCAAATTTTTCAAAACTGAAGGTCTGTACGCTGGCAATATAAGTTCAGAACCTACATCGACTGAACCAATATTAATTACGAAAGTTGAGCAGCTTATTCAACTCAGACCCCTTCAACTACTTCTATAACCAACCAAGAAAATTTCCGATATAAGCCAATAAACTAAACTTTCAAATACACATGACGAGTCCAAATAAACAGCTTTCGATTCCTTGATTTCTTGAAATTTCTTTTCTCGTTAATGCGGCTCTATTTTTTGAATAACTTATGTATACCGCAACAATTCCCTAATAAACCACGCAAACGTGCAGTCCCTAAAATTTTGTTTCTAGCTATACGATAAATACTGAGGCGTCAGTTAAGAAAAATTATTATGAGCCCATTACATCTATTACTATATATTATTGGAAAACACCGAATATTTGTTTGCGTTTGAGAAGCAAAATCAAAAGTTAGGCGATAATAAGTTTCAATAGCATCTTGCCGACGATAACTGTCGCCAATTTTGTCAGTGAGCTCTGAACGTATTTTTTTTGCATTATTACTTAAATTAATAAAGTACGAGTTTTTTCAATGTCACTATTAAATAATGTTAAACGTTGTTTTTTATTATTATTTAGATATCCACATTAGAATGCTTTATTATTGGCTTGATCACATGATGTTGCACTTAACAAACATTCACACGCTACAATTTAGAGAAAGTTGCGGCTGCGTTTCAACTGTTCAAGTCGGAAGTATTTAATTGACATTCATAGCAGCCACACACATCCATAATAATAAGTGCATGCTCTCAAAATTGTCATTTCGTACGCAATTTGTTACACGGATAGTTTTTATTATTCGGAAATGAAATGCTCCGAGTGTAAGATTGATAAGCTATCAAATGAATTTCCGTTGTTTCCTGTGACCGAGCGTTGTAACCATTTATCTTCGCATTGTTTGCGGGTAATAACCAAACGTTATATCTATCCATGAATGCGTTCCGTTCTAAGTATCAATATTGTAACTTGCATGCTTTGTTTGTTCAGTGTCTGGTCCAATCACTAGACAAACAAGAAGAGGACAAGTATCAGTGTCCGGAATGTAAAGCGGCACTCAGCTATGAAGAAGTTGGTAGATGGAAACAGCGTATGGATAAGGCTTCGTTCATGTTGAATGTCGATAAAATTGGTCGTCAGCACCTTGCGAGCATGGAAAATAACGAAGAAATCGTTCAAAAAGGGAATATATACGTGGTCTTACTAAACGGAGAGAAGATTGTAGTCGATTACGAGAAAGTGCACACTGTAATGGCATTACGACAAGAAATTTATACCCAGAAAAAGATAGAAGTCGCTAAGCAAAAATTAATGTACAATGGTGTTGAGCTCAAGGTTGGTATGGTATTAATCTTGTCAGGGTATTTATTGTCCAAATATGCTTTAGTTTATCATCATTACTACGCTTACAGAATTATACCGATGACAACCGACATAAAAGCCTTATCGAATATGGTATTAGTGCCAATAGTCACATACAATTAATAATTATTTTTTCCAAAAATGCGGAAAAAGAAACTATTAATGAACTGATTTTTGATCTTGACTACGGACTCCTCGACGACGACCAAACATTCGACTGTCCCGAGTTGACTTGTTTCTTGTATACTGGTAATAAACTCTGGCGCACATACGATATGCAATCTACGTTTTATCCACATACGCCAAATACGATACATTTAGGTGACGTAGTTGACCGTGCAAACCGAAGAGGTAACTTTTGCTTATAAATCGTTTGTCAAATTTTTTCACTCATGTGCGGATGAGTATCCAACAACCCCATGTCCCGTCATATAACATAGGCAAACAACAGATAACGTCCAGACTGGGAGAACTACCCGAAAACGTGACGCATTTGTATTTTATCATCAGCGCACGAAACTCACCATCCATTGGATGTTACAAGAATCTAACGTTCAGTCTAATAGATAGAAAATATCCCGATAAGAGTTTGTGCATATATAATCTCACAAAAGTCGTACATTCAAAGGCTGTCATCCTGTGTGGTGTTGCGCGTGCCGGGAATACATGGAGGGTCTACATAATTGGCGCGGAGTCTGCAGGTAATGCGAAAGATTACAAGCCAATTGAGCAGAAAATTCGGGCCATAGAAGAGTTGGTTTAGAAAATGTGTTTCGGTAACTTGATATTTATTTCCCGACACAACGGCGATGATGGAAAAAAATGTCATACTTTCTATTCAGCTGTATAGCATTTATTTAGTTTATTATACACTTTTCCGAGGAATATGGAATCGAACAAAAAGGAGTCATACAAACTGCACTTTGTAGCAGAGATGTTTATAATACAAGGTCACGTTTGTCAAATTAAGCGTCAGAAGTACATGTACATAACCATTGTCTGTTTTCTCGTCTTCACTCTCTTATTGTTAATTTAAATTACGGCGTATATTATCGGGGAAAATATTATCATTTGAACTATAAAAATAAATCAAAGATGAATTTATTATTTGATGATACGTTCATTGGGTTCTAGATTCCAATCCTCCCGTACAGTTCAATCAAAGCGAAGAAATAATAGTACGGATACACGATATTTGAACTCTCGCTTGTTATGTGAAGCATGTTTACTGTCAAGAAGTTATTGTTATAATTGAATGCATGATTTTCAAGCCCATTACACTCTCGTGACAAATTTTTGTACTTTTTGACCTTTTTGCTTATTATTATGCAAATGGCGCTAAATGCAGACTACCGTGTAGTCACTGTGTCGCGGACCATGAACTTAAATGCAATGCATACATTAAATGTTTTACAAGTTTTAACGTTTTCCTCATTTATTTTCTTTCGTTCACACCATCGACAATGACTATGAATCTAAACTAGACTCAGGAGAGCGTATACAAGACCGATATTTAGATCGTGAGTATAAATCGCAGTTTAACGTCACTAATTGTTGGTAGATTTAATTAGAGTAGGATAAACGAAAGGTTCCGCCTGAAAAGAGTTAAATCTCAAGGCCTACTACTACCAACGCTCTCCCGGGTACATTGGCTCGACAGGAGATTGCTTAAATACATATTAAGATGTTTATATCAATATATTATTTAAATGTTTCCGTCTTTTGAGATGTCGGGCATTAGAAACATTTTTGAGTTTTGGAAACTCTGTGCTTATACATTTTTTTTACCTGTATTTATTACATTTTTTCTAAAATCCCGTTAGTAGTAGGCGTATCTATGACGATAATATTCTCCATCAAGAGTTTCCAAAACTTTACACGACATGCAACTGACCTTTCGATCAATTCTATTCTAGAATTGTTAACTATACGCCGCTTCATATTTTGCAAGTAATTGTGAATAAAAACATATTACTCTCTAGTACTAGCAACCAACTCGCCCAGATACACGTCTGATTGACTAGGCCTTAAGAATCGACTATCCACAAACTCACGCATTTTCTGCAAGTAAGTAGCATCATTGCCCCTATGTCATGAATGTCAAAAACTTTTTCGGCATCTCGCTAACTAATGGACTATCTGTGATTTAGCTAGTTCTAATAATATATTATAATAAATTTGTCTCAGAACACGCATGATAATTGCTTTTACACAAATTTGCAAGTATGAATGCTTTTCGCCCGGCTTTCACGCGTAACTCAAAAACAATAAATTGTTGTTTTTTGCATATGACACAGTTTAAAATTTTGAGATAAAAAATTTATTTATGTTTTACTAATAAAGTTAAAAGCTAAAAGTTTGGTAAGAAAAAAACTTTACTATACTAGATTCATATCTGTTGGTTTATCTACATATTTACTTTTTATTTTATCTATACTCTTACGAATTTTATATTGAACGGATGCTGTTGAAGTTGCCAAAAAATTCTCTGGCAATTTATCAGTATAGTAAGACATATTTCTAGTTAAAAACAGTACTAATACAAAATTGCATGCTTTTACAAAATAAAAATTGACTGGCCATACTGCCAAAACGAATAATGCTTGGCCAACGTTTGGGACATAAAAGTAGAGCACAACAACAATACTAAATATTGCGTTAGTCTTAACAACTCTCGCCACAAAAACGCCCCCGGCAATGATGCAGACGGGTATTAAAATCTGCACAGAGGTTAAAAAAACAGCTAATCCAAAACATTTGAGTTACAAGAACGGGAAACCCCACCAAAAAAATGAACATGCCAGTATATATATATAGTCTTTATCAATATCACCAATTCGCTTCCATCTGATTAATGCAATTAGTGCACAAGTTATATGTAAACACATATTTACAATTGAAATATTTTTACAGGCAGCGAATCATTATAGAAAATGACACAATTAATGGAATGCCCCAAGTAACTATATTGTGCAATATATCGTCCAGCAGTGGTAAGAGCGTGTTTTTAATCGACCCAGGTTTTCCCGAAACGTTCAACAGCAGTACAAAAGTGATTGGAAAAAACGTGGTAAGAATTGTGTTGTATAAATCTTGGAAAGGCGTATAAGTGTAATCGACACTAGACGTCGTTGCAAGTAGGATGAGTGAGAAAAGTACGAGGTAATGGAAAAGAGAATTCATATCTCCCGTAAATGTCTGTTTAGCACAGTAGCGTTTAGTCTCCATTCAAAAGTCTGAGAGGTTTAAAGTAAAACAAAAAATTTGATAAACTAGAGAGAGAGGTGGTGTTGACGATCGTCGCCAATGCAGAATGAAGTCTATTATTTGGACCATATTGATGTTACATGTATATTTATGGAGTTTTCTTGTAATACTTATGATTGTCCGACTATAACATACCTAATAAGTGGGATTTGGCTCAAGTTGGAGATACAGTGTATAAAGAATTATTGGCAATTATATAGTTGATCATTGTATAGCGATATTAACATGATTGACACCTCATTCGATAGCTGAAATGCGTCCAGAAAAATGATCTAAGCGAAGAAAATGTCAACGAATCCCTCTCTCTTCTTCATATCTCACTCTCTTACTCTCTACTGTTTCACCCATACAATACCCCAAACTTTTTTATGGACATTGATTCGGTAAATCTAACAGGTATGTACTTCAACGAGATGCACAAGCAGAAGAATTGTTAACAGACCAATATTCAGAGAATATTTGTGACTCAAAACACATCTCAAATGCAGATATGGCAGTTCAATAGAGACTTAGTATGCGACATTATGGGCGGACAGCGACCATCGATGACTAGTTCCACACCAGAAGGATACAAGAAACTTACCAAGTAGTATCGTGATATTGATCCTGATAAGCATCGCATCCGGATGCATGGAGACTTGGATTGATATTTACTAATTGTTAAAGGACAATTCTGTCAGTAACGCATGGATGATGATGTAAAACCCTTGTCACGTCTTGAAAAGCAAATGAATATTCTAGTATACCATCACTATTACCTACTGGAGATCTGTCGAAACCGAGAAATAGCCATGATTTGGATTCGGCTGCAGGTATAATAATAAGGACAAGAACTGGTTATGTGTTGGTGTAGTTAACGTCCAATGTATGATATTAACATTGTCGATTGTCTTATAATTTAGTGATTCGGAGTTCAAATCTATGTCAACGAATCATAAGCAATCCAGGCATGTGTTCAGTAGCTACCCCACGGCCAATTCGGGATTATTGGAAAGTCGGACCCCAGGTTATCTGCCAACGACTCATGATGGAAAGGGAAGTTGTCCAGAACGGTTCAGACAGATGGGAAAAATGACAGACAAAGTTTCCGTTACTGAAGTTCGAAATCGATGAGACTGTACCAAACCAACCACCAACCACAAATAACGAAAAGCGTCGAGTGGTTCCCAAATATGACATTGAATTACGTAACTTAATATTAAAATGGTTTCAACCATCGGGCGGGTTTTCACAAAGTTGTTATGGGACAATCACAACCAACTACAGAGAAAGGCTGGCATTAACGTGATAGATCCGTTTGTTAGGACGTACGATTCAACAGTACATAGTGCCCATCCTCGTACGCCACACCAAGCGTTATTTGGATGGAAAATGCGTGGCCCATCTACAATGAGGATAATGACATCGATGTAGAAAACAATGGCGACAATGATGATGACAACAATGACGAGTTAAGCGAAAACGACCATTTGTTTAAGTTTATTTGTACAAACCATTGTGTATTTGTCTAATAAAATTTACTTAATAAACTGTTAATAACATGCCCAAGTAATATACCATGATAAACTCGCTCTACTGTGTCTTCAGCTCACTTGATCTCTTCCTAATTCACTCACCCTCATTTTCTCACTATTCTTTCTCCTCTTTACTTAACCTACTCGCTTACTTTTTATGCCATTAGACTCTTCATTCATCCTCACTCTGAGAAACCAGAAATAGAAAGCGAAAAAGAAAATTGCCGAAGTTAGGCAAGAATTAGAAAGTCAAATTCGACAAGTCACCGACCGAAAATCTAAGCCGAGCCCACGAAAGTTTAAAGAGAGTGAAACGCTGAATCTCCACCTTCCCTTTTTTTACTTTTCTCTACCATTTAGTACCCTCTTCAATAGAGTTTTTATTTCCAAGCTATACATACATGCAATAGCCAATCATAAAGCGAAAATAATAATAAGAGGGGTAGCCATTGTGCAACTATGACGTGATTTTTGAGATTATAAGCCACAGTACCTGCAACGATTAGGTAACAGAAAATCGGTCACGAGGATTTCAGCATCAGCATCAGCCGTGACAATAAATACACAGTGAAACTCGATAAGTCGGACACGACGGGCTGGGCATGGCTGTCCGACTTATCGAGAAATCCGAGTTAT